CTTTTTTGTGTGTATTATTTCTCTGCCTTGGTTTCATCAAGTGCTGGTTTAAGATTCTAGGTTCTACAACATTCGCTGATGGTATTTTACACATACTGAGGAATACTTACTTGAACTAGAGGATTCTCATATATATCACAGCCTAGGATGATGCAAATATTACTGCAAATCATGGTAGTTATGTGGCTTAGAGATTAGAGGGGGCATTATTTAGGAATATTTATTTCATTGTATGTTTTTTTAAATTTATTTTTGGCTTTCCTATATCATGCCTTTCTTCATACCGCCTATCCCTGTGCTGTCACCTGAGATAAACACATTTTCTGGTTCTTTGCTTATTATTCGAAAGGCATTTTTCTTTTTCAGTTTTGTATTGCTTGTACTATTGCTTCTAGAGACTAGCATCCTGAACTTGCCTTCAAATCCTGAAATGCATTAGTTGAATAGAGTTCCAGTTGTTTCCAGAGTCCTTGATATCATATGCTCTTTGCTTTATCAAAAGTTCTTTCCCATCATATGTTACTGTTATATTCTCTGCTTGCCTAAGCATCTTTGCCCATGACTTACTTCTGAGACCTTTAAAGATTTGCTTTGTTTCCAGGTTGATGCTCTAATCTCTTTATGCCAATTTTTGACCATCTAGAGTGATATCATGGAAGATTTTATCTACCCAGTAGTTTCTAGTGTTTCTCTTTAATTTGAGTCTTAACTCTAATTTATGGCCATTTTAAAATGAAACTCTGGAAATTCCTATATTTTATTTTATTTTTTTCCTCATTGAGTTTATTGGTACAGTTTAGGTATACAGTACAGGTACATTCATTATAGGGATCTTGTACATTTACATGACAGGTCTTGGTTCTCATTTTTTCCCCTTGTCCCTGCCCTCCCTTCGCCCCCTCTTCCCCTCCCCATTTACAAACACTTTATTTCCATTTTTACATTTTCTCATATTTTTTCTTTTCCCTTATTCCCTTTCCCCTACCCTTCCCACTTTCCCTACACTTTTAGCCCTTTTCTTCCTATTTCACATTGTTAATTATCCCATTAGGATCTTGTGTACTATTATAGTTTTTCACAGCAGAGAAACTATTTGGTATCTACACATGTGTGACTAATTTATTTCTCTTAGGAGTATATCCTCAATATGTATGCATTTTCCTATGAATGACTCTAATTTCTCATTCTTTATGGCTGAAGTATTCTATTTTATAAAAAACCACATCTTCTTTGTCCAGTTTCCAACTGATGGGCAAATGGACTGTTTCCAAGTTTCAGCTATTACAAACTGTGCTGCTATAAACATAGGTGCACATATGTCACTGTGATATGATTCCTTTAATTCTTTTGGAAAAGAACCTCTAGTCCCAGCTCTTTGAGGTGTCTCCATATTGATTTCCATAGTGGTTGAACCAGTCTGCACTCCAACCAACAATGGAGAAGGCTTCCTTTCTCCCCACAATCCCACCAACATTTGTTATTGTGTGATTTCTTGATAGCAGCCATTCTTTATGGGGTGAGGTGGAATCTCAGTGTTGTTTTCATCTGCATCTCGAATGACCAGAGATGTGGAACATTTTTTCATATATTTACTTGCTGCTTTTACTTCTTTGTCTAAGAAATGTCTGTTCATTTCAGATGCCCATTTTTGAATCAGGTCTTTATATTTGGGGGGGCTGATTGTTTTGAGTTCTTTATGTATTTTAGGTAATAGTCCTTTGTCTGAGGAGTAGCTGGTAAAAAGTTTTTCCCACATTGTAGATTGTCTCTTAGTTCTGTTGATGGTTTCTTTTGCATTGCAGAAGCTTTTTCATAAGATGAGATCCCAGTTGTTGATTCTTTCTGCTAGTTCCCGTGCTACTGAGGATTTGTTCATAAAGTCTTTTCCTATGCCAATGTCTTCAAGAGTTCTGCCTAACTTATCTTCCAGCAAGTTTAGTGTTTCTGTTTTAATATTTAGATCTTTAATCCACTTGGATTTTAATTTAGTGCATGGTGAGAGATAAGGGTCTAGTTTTAATCTTTGGCAAATTGAGATCCAGTTTTTCCAACACCATATTTTAAAGAGGCTATCTTTCCTCCAGTGGGGACTGTCAGCTCCTTTGTCAAAGATGAGGTAGCTGAGTACATCTGAAGTTGTTTGTGTGTCTTCCAGTCTGTTCCACTGATCCTCAGGTCTGTTTCTTTGCCAGTACCATGCTGTTTTTATCATAGTGGCTTTGTAGTATAGCTTCAAATTGGGAATTGTTATACCTGCTGCCATGCGAGTGTATCTTTCCTCCAGTGGGGACTGTCAGCTCCTTTGTCAAAGATGAGGTAGCTGAGTACATCTGAAGTTGTTTGTGTGTCTTCCAGTCTGTTCCACTGATCCTCAGGTCTGTTTCTTTGCCAGTACCATGCTGTTTTTATCATAGTGGCTTTGTAGTATAGCTTCAAATTGGGAATTGTTATACCTGCTGCCATGCGAGTGTTGCCTAGGATGGCTTTTGCTATTCTAGGTATCCTATGGTTCCAAATGAATTTTTGGATTCTTCTTTCTAGTTCTGTGAAATATAGTGTTGGAATTTCAATGGGCATTGCATTGAATCTGTAAAGCAGTTTTGGTAGTATGGCCATTTTCACTATGTTGATTCTTCCTACCCAGGAGCAGGGGATATCCTTCCATTTTCTTATATACTCTTCAATCTCTTTTTTTTCAGAGTGCTGTAGTTTTCAGTGTAAAGGTCTTTTGCTTCTTTTGTTAGATTGATTCCTACATACTTCATCTTTTTTGGGTGCTATTGTGAAAGGAATTGTTTCCCTAATTTCTTGCTCAGTGAGTCTGTTATTTGTGTACAAGAAGGCTATTGATTTTTGGGTGTTGACCTCATATCCCGTGGCTCTGATAAAAGTGTCAAATAAGTCTAGAAGTAAAAAATCTATTTCTTGTGGCTATATGATTCCTTGAAAGTCAAGCTGATATACTAATATTTCTACAAGCATATTGGTTCTATAAACATACAGTTGTTCTTAGCCTCAATTGATACTCTAGGTTTTATCTGTAGATTGCTTAAATTTGTCTGCTAATATTAGTCATTGGATAAAGTATAGGCCACAAACACTTGACCATCTTTGAAAAAAGGGAGGGATAAGTGGGAGGCTTGGATACCATCATAATGGATTTATAATTTATTTTCATAACAATTGAATATACAAAGAACAGGGTAGATAAATTTAAACGTTTATTAGTTTTCTATGGCCACTGTTACAAATTATGATAAGACACTTTAAACAACACAAATTTATTATCTCACTGTATTCTAGCTACAAAGTCCAAGATTTCATTGGTCTAAAAAAAAAAAAAATCAAAATGTTAGCAGAGCTGTTCTTTCTGGGGAGAATCTATTTCCTGGTCTTTCAGAATTTAGCTCAATTAATTACAGATTCATACATTTCAGTCCTCATTTCCTTGATAGTTGTTAGCTGGGGGCTCTTTCCAGTGCTAGAGACCACTTATATTCTTTGCTTTATAGCCACTTACTCCATTTTCAAAGCCTGCAATGGTTAAGTCAGGCCCTTGTCATATTTTGAATCTTTTATGCTTTTTTGTTGCTGTAGTTGCATCTTTTCATCCAAATATTTTTCATTCCTCTTCTACTTTTAAGAGCTTATGTGATTAGATTTGGTCCTGGAAGAAAATCCAGGATAATCTTGCATGTCACAATCCATAAGCATAGTCACATCTGATCATATAATATTCATAGTATTGGAGTGGATATCTTTGTGAGGCCATTACTATACCCACCACAAAACTCATTAAAATATATATTGTATTTTAACCAAGAGATAAGAAAATGTTATCCAAGGATAGTATACAGTTGCTTCTTGAATCTTCACCTGCTGGGAGTTTATCTATTCTTGTCCTTTATGTCACAGTCTCTAGGGTATCCAGAATTCCCCTATAAAATTTTGATTTAAGAGATCTGCAGAGGGATTTCTCTTAGTGTGCTGCTAAAATGTAATACTATAGAATTGGTTGCTTATGAATAACAGAAAGTTATTTCTCAAGTTCTTGAAGTTGAGGAATTAAAGATTAAGGTGCTAGAAGAACTGGTGTCTGGTGAGGACCTGCTTCTGTCTTGTTGTGGTACCCTCACATGGTAGAAGGGAGGAAAGAACCTCTCTGGGTCCTCTTTTATAAGGGCACTTATTCACTGGGGCTCCATTCTCCTGACTTAATTATTTACAAAGTCTCCCACCTCCAAATATCATCACTTTGAGAATTAGGCTTCAATATATGCATTTTAGGGGGCCCAAACATTTAGTCTACTGTAGTGCTTTCTAAACTTCTCAATTAGAGGATTGGCACCTGCTTTCCTGCCTTGTTTGGTCTGCTGTCTGTGGCTAGGCCCAATTTCCACTCATGTCATCTTGGCCATGTGTGTCTTCAGACTGTTGCTGCCCAGAGTTGCTATCTTCCTTGGATCCAGATGATATCCTCACCTTGCTCTAGAGTTGCCAGTCCCCTTTTTGGACTTGACTGATACTTGATGACACTGTCCTGTAGTTTCAATTTTTAAGTCCCACTCTTCCTCTGACTCTTTATGTAGATGCATGAAGTGAATGCATCTGAAGTGAAGCATGATTGATCTTCAGAGAGCTTACTCCAGTACACAAGATCTTAGCTACATGTGAAAACGTAAAGTCCTCTGAATAAGAGAGGTAGCAGGGAAGTAGGAGCCAACATCTGCTGGGATGCTATGGACTCATAATAGTGTGACTAAGAGCATAGAGTTTAGACTCTGATACTTTGTGGTTCTATTGCAGGCTCTTGTATCTGCCAGCAAAGGGTAACATTTTAGATTCAATTTTCTCATTTGTAAAGTGAGATAAACAATAACTTTAGAAGTTATAAGTATGACACAAGATATGAATGTAACCTAGATTGTATTGTTTGCTTATTTCTTCATGTCATTATAGAGTAGGGGTAGACACAAATAACACAGGCTACCAGTGTGCTGCATCTCAGAATATCTACCTGAGATTTTATTTTAAGCTTGGAGAGAATGTTGGCTTGTATAGTCAGTGATATGCAGTAGGATGCAGAGGGAGAAGTAGGGCATTATTTTTTCTTGTCCTTAGTGATATCTTCAATCCAGGATATATATTTGTAAACATTGGTGTAAATGCCGACATCCCCTCCCATGAAGTGTCCAACCTCGATCCCCTGGAGCTTATTATTGCAGATGACAGTAGCCACAGCCACCTCCTGTCAAGTATCAGAGAGAGAAATATAGTCAGATCTCAGAGGAACCCAGTCAGTTCGCCAACTCAGGTGATCCCTGCTGATAGAAGTGGGGTCAGAAAGTTTGGGTTCTTTTTCTAGTTTTGTTATTACTGGTGTTGTGTGATCTTGAATATTAGAGAATTAGCCTATCTAGATTTTATGTACAAAATGAGTCAAACCCCATTTATTTTAACTGGTAAAACCAGTTTCAATGTGTAAAAATTTTATACTTTTTAAAAGCAAAGCCTGTTTTCATTATTTTACTTATAGATATGAGAATGAACATCTAGCAAGGAGTTAATAACAAGAGATACTACATGAGGCTCTTTAATGAATAAAGGTACATTATAAGGAGACCCCACCCATGTTTGAAGAAACAAAGGTGTCTTTACAGGGATCTTGCCAAATTTTCAAAAAGAATATTTAGAAGTTTAAAAAAACTTATACTATGGTTGCATAGTTAAAAGTAAAAGAAAAACAAGAAATCTAAATATAGAGAGATTACCCCAAAAATTCGGCTGAATACTTTCACAAATTTAACACATAAGGAGTTCCTATGTTTTCTTCCTTGTTCAGTTTCCTGGCACTCTTTGTTAGTCATCACAGGGCCTTGTAAGTTCTGCCGTAAGTCAGGATGTCTACCTGTGGGAATTCAGGATAAAAGAAAACATTATGCTCACAATTAACTAGTCACACCTTCTGAGCAACTCCTCTTTTAACTGATGTCTCTTGTGTGCATATGAAGAAAATAAAGAATCAAAAACGAAGAAATTAATTTGAGCATAATTATAAGTTAATCTTAAAGATTTTGAAATAGTCTTTTTGTGTCTTTGAGACAGAATTTTTTTCTATTCTGTCTAGTCCTGGATGAATAAGAACTGTCCCGACTCAAGTTCTCAGAGGTGTCTTTTACATGAAATGAGCATGATCAGAGAGCAGCCTCCTTAATGCAAATTGTGATTGATGATCAGGAATTGTGTGACCCTGTGAAGAGACAGATAGCTTGCTGACTCCAGCTGTCAAAGCCTTGAAGAGGGCATGGAGGATCAGGCACCTTGGGAGTGGAGGAGCTTTGGACTTCTGGAAAGTCTCTTTTTGCCAGACTATTTCTGTAGCTTCTCCATCCATTTTCTTGTCCTCTCTCTTCACAGATCTAAGGACATTGATATTCCTCTTCAGGGGTAACTGATGGATAGCTTTAATTTGCCATGGGAAGTGCACTCACCGGAGTTTTGCTGGCTCCAGTCTAAACCTGAGAGGAAGCAGATGGTCCCTGGTGAGACATTCTTTGTAGCAAGGGGAAGGATCTGGACTTTGTGGTTGAGGGTGGCTGGCTTATCCAATTTAATGAGCATGAGGTCATCCTGTGGGTCACTGTCATTGTAGTTCCAGTAGCGGATAATCTGGATGGGGTTAATTGTCTGCTCTGTCCCATCTCTGACTCTGCTCTTGAAATTTCCCAGCATCACTTTTAGATTTCTGAAGGGAAAAAGGGTTAGAAGTAATTGCTATCGTCATGATTATCATGGTAAGATATTGACTGTTACAGTGTGCCAAGTATTGTGACATACTTTATCTAACAGTAACTCTGGGCAGTAGACCCTATGTTTATCTCCATTTTACAAATGAAGTAGTGGAGGTTCATAGTAATTTACTCACAATCAGATAGTAAATATTGGAGGCCTTGACCACTGTGTTTTAATGTGGTATCCTTAATGTAGCATAGAGGAAAATGAAACATGTCAGATAAATTTAATTTCCTACTGTCTCCAGCTTTTCCTATCCCATTTGGGCAATTTCATTTTGGTGGGGACAGGAAAGTGGAATGACATGAGTATTACATATCTTCTGTTATCTTCACTAAACTCAATGACAAGCCTCCTTTACCCTGCTCTGCCCTTTTGGAAGGTTAAATGGATTAAATCAATGCATCCTCTTGCTCTGTGCTCCTGATTAGATTTTTGGTTACTAGGAAGCACCGAAGATAATTGGAAGGGGAAGGGTGAAGTTACAGCATCTATTCTCCCAGTTCTCTCCCTGCAGCATTGCCTTACATTGGCCATATCATTCCTGTTAGCCCTTGCCCCCTCTTTGTTTGTATCAGGGATCAAACTAAGGATCTTGTGCCTGCAAGGCAGGCAGCGGTACCGCTGCGTTAAATCCCCTGCTCTGAAATCTCTTTCATCTCTTTCCCTTTGCCTTGCTAGATATAGATACAGTCTCTGCATTTTCCTAACACTAACCCTGCGGGTACAGAACTATTCTTTGTGTTTTCCCAATGATGTCTCTACACCTTTGCAATCCCCCTCCCCACTTTGGTACTGGGAATCAATCTCAGGACCTTGCACTTGCCAGGCAGGCACTGTGTTGCTGAGCTACATCCCCCTGGTCCTGCAATTAGTTCCTTTTACAATCTCCCCAATTTACCAGTGTATTCTCAGTTACCTGCTGGATCCTTAATTAATAAAGTTCGTCTTCCAGAATTGCTATTTCCTGATTATGACAACAAAAAAATACCTTCAGACATTGCCAAATGTACCCTGGGGGAAAGTGGCCACTATTTGAGAATCACTGATTTAGAATAGGTAGTTTCTGTTTTGGGGCATTGAGGATGACTAATACTCACGGTAAGTAGCAGTGAGCTGGGGCCAGCACCCAGGTCGTTTTGATGAGGACACCCACACAGGGGTTGAAGTAAGACTTGAGGTATGCCAAGTAGGGAGCAGGGTCTTCTTTCTGCTCAAGTGAGTGAGCAAAGAAATATGTCCCTGAGAAAATAATAAATTATAAATGCTAGAACAAACGAGGCCATAATTTCCCAGTTGAAGAGGAATATAGATGATTTTAATTGTCCAGGAACTGTGAATATACATAAAATTTTTCTTTTTTTTTTTCATTAAGTTTACTGGTACATTTAAAGCAAACAGTGCAGTTACATTTATCATTGGGATCTTGTACCTTTACATGATATATCTTGGTTATTCTTTCCCCATATCCCTGTACATGATATTTTTCTAACAAAAATGTAAATAAAAATGACATACCATTATATCTAAAATTCATAATAATCATTTTTGGCTTAAATAATATTTACTCAAATAAAGGATATAATGAGATGCATTTACTACTTGTAAATTGATTTTTTTTCTTAAAAAATAGACATCAGGAATTATAATCTGTGACTTTATAATTCCAACCCTAAGAGTCTATATATGGACTCCATATATGTCAAATATAGATAAAGGTTATGAGTAAGCATATTTGTTTTAGCACTATAATAGCTTAATGTTGGAAACATGCATATCTAAAATGGTTATACTAAATGCTGAAACAAAGAAGCACATGAACAAGTAGAATATAATATATATTAAAACATTTATAAAAATATTAGAGAAATATTGATGACATTTCTTTAAATTAAAAATAACAATAAAATTATATATAACGTAATTCATTTGTTTAAAAACAAAAGATAAGCCATTTAAATACAGAAAACTAAGTCTGGGAATAAATTCAAACAAAATATTAGTATGTGTTGACAGAAGTGGGATTATGAATGATGTTTATTTTCTTCTACTTTAAAAATTCACAGAATGAACATGTAATTTTTTTATAAATGAATTTTTAAAAAATCTAGAGAAGGAAGAGGAAGGCTGATTGTGGTATCAGAAATAAAGTACTGTTCTTGTCTTGGCTATGCTCAGAACTTCTGTTGATCCTCCCAAGCTGGGCCTGAACCTTACCCCACCCTTATTAATATGCAGTCATAGTTAGAAACCCCAAGGGGAAAAATGATGGATTAGTAATAAAGACAAGAGACATTGAGCTGCATGCCAGGGACTAACTAGTCTAGGTTCTTTACATGGATTTATTTTTCACAACAACTGAATAATGTAGGTAAAAATATCCCACCATTTGACTGAAAAATGGAAATACAGATAATCTAACTTGCCCAATAGCACACAGCTAAATGTGGTGCAACCTGGGCAAGAAGGAGTGGTAGGAAAGGCCTCACTAGCAAATTCTTCAATCAGAACTTCTGAAAGGCATGGCCTTCAGAAGGTAGGGAGGGCCCTGCTATTAGGTCTCTTGTCCCCACCTTAGTTACCCTCTGCATTCTGAAGTTTTGGGAAAGAGGAAAGATCACAGGTCAAAATGGGTTCTCTGTCTTTGTGACCATATACCCATGGAGTTATGAGACACAGTTTGGAATAACCTGAGGAGAATATTCACCATTAAGGATCCAAAGCAATTTTATGCCCTGATCTGCTTTGTAGCTTAGCATTCGAAGGGTAGGCTCAATCTGTCCTGAGAACCTTTGGTAGTCTCTAAGAGGAGGGACCCAATTCTTTCTCAACAGTTTTCATGACTCTTTTTCTGTATTTTTCATACATCCCACTCTGTCTCACTCCTTTCTGTACTAACTTCTGCCTACAGAATATAGAAGATCTGGGATACATACCAGCAAGGAGACTCAAATAGGAAATAAGTCTCATGGTGGTCCAGCTCTTTGCCTGCGAGGTGTAGAAGACCAGCCGGGTATGGAGTCCTCAGCTCAGTTGTCTCCTCAGGAATGTTTGCTAGAATCAGTGGATATAATCAGGTATGGGGCACCCTGGGGTTGAAATGTAGCTATTGTGGAGGAGGGAGATGGCTCAGTATGGACATATGGAAGCCCTTCTACTCAAGGGAATGTGGGGCTATGCCTCTACTGGGGCCTTTTAGGCAAAGAAAAAGAAATTTAGTTCCTTAGATTCTTGGATCCAGGCCTATCTGTTACTCTTCCTAAAAGCCTAGCTCCCTGAAGGTAGTTCCATATTTAAAGGGGAGCTTTAGGCTCAGGAGTTAACTTTCCCACAGAGTTTCTGAAGCCTATAGGTCTATAGTTTCTGAAGGCTATAAGGATCAAGATTCTCTACCTTAATGCAGGGAGACAGTGTCCCTGATATTTGCTTGGAATCCCCCACTGCTTACTCACTTATACTGTCCCTAGCCCCTCCCACCTTTGTTATACTGCCCTCATCTTTCCCTTTGGCCACTATTTCATCACTCAGTCATCATTACCAGTTTTGGGCTAAGGAAATGAAAAACATTCATGGAACAGTTATTCTGACAGATGGTGTACGTTCTAAATGAGATCTAATGTATATTTGGTGACAATTCAGAAGGCAGTACCTCTAAAAAATTTTTTTTTTTTTTTTTGAGACAGGGTCTCACTATGTAGTTGAGACTGATCTGGAACTCACTATGTAGCACAGGCTGGTCTCGAACTCACAGCGATCTGTCTCAGCCTCCCGAGTGCTGGGATTACAGGCATGCACCACCGCGCCCAGCCTCTAAATATTTTTCACATAATGAAAATATTTCTCTGTTAATGACAGACTACCACAGCTGCCCTTGGTTAACTGGAAGCATACTTCTAAGACGAAGAAGAGCAGGAACAATAACAGTTAAAATTCATTGAGCATTTACTGAATCCCAGATACTGAGGTAACTTCTTTATGGACTTGTCAGCAGTGACTTTATATCTAGTTCAGAGTGTAAAATCAGTTATGCTTTGTATCACTTGAACCCTTTACAGTTTTATAAACTCATAATCTTGTTATGTCATAATAATCTTAGGACTGAGCTGGTATTTTTTATGATCTATAGATAAGAGAACTGAAATAGAATTTAAATGATTTTCCCAAGTCACACATGAGCTAGGGAGGTACCCTGAATTCATTATGTCAGGGAAAGTTTCAATTATAGACCTGAACATACCAAATTCCTTTTTGTGATCATTTCATATGGTCTTGGGTAATAAATACCAGAGAGTATCTTTAGAAAATGGAGCTAGGATCAGATGTAAGGAAGTTAATTCCAAAAAAGGAGTCACAAGAAAGAGTCTGAATCTCTCCTTTTATAATTTATCCTTTTATAATCTCTTGATATGGAGTTATATTGGGGCTGTCTGTATACTTTCCTGCAATATGATGGCAGGAAGTTTCCATTTTAGTGTTAACTCTGTGCAGATCCCAGAAATAACCCTAACATATGAGGAGTCAGTAATCACATTGTGATGTAAGAACACATGGCAGGGGTCCTCATCTCCATGGGACCTGTGTGACAGAGTGGCCTGCGAGTTTCAGGGCAGCTGTGTTTGGTCACTCGATGACCACCTGAGACACGTGGAAGGAAGTTTACTGCCAAATGAGAAAAGCTGAGAAAGAAAGATGGAGTCTTTCTCTGAGCACCCTTCTTGTTCAACTAATATCTCTAATTCAGGGCAAGGTTCAGTTTCTTATTTATTTTCCAGGTTTTGTTTCAGATCAGATCGGCCCAGTAGAAAATTTAGAATTAGAAAGAAGTGTGAACTAGTAGTAATACCTATTTGGAAAGAATTCTGTCAATATCTTTCAGGTTAGATAAACACCATGCTCTCACCCTATGCTCTAGCAGTTCTACTCCCAGAAAGAAAAAGGAAAACATATCTTCACAAAAACATCTGTTAGAATGTTCATAGTGGTTTAATTCATTAAACTAATGACTGCACATAACAAATATCCATTAACAAGTGAATGGTATAGTTGATCCTGATTATTTATAGATTGTATATCTGTAAATTTACATACTCACTAAAATGTATTTGTAACTTCAAAATCAATACCTGCAATTTTTTGCAGGTCACACTTGCTGACATGTGCGTGTGTGCACAGAGCTGTGAAACATTTGTCACCTTGTGCACAATTTCCCAGCTGAGGTAGAGCAAGGGACATGTTCTGCCTTCTTGTTTCTGTTCACATACTGTAACTGTCATTTTCACTGTCTTCAGTGTCGTTTTTTTGGGGGATGTGTTTTTGTGTTTTGTGTTAGTGATTTTTCTGTTTAAAATGGTCCTCAAGCATAGTGGCAACATGATATCTAGTGTTGCTAGATGCAAGGAGACTTCAAAATGCCTTATGAGAAGATATGAGTTAGGTAAACTTCATTCAGCTATTAATTACAGTGCTGTTGACTGTAAATTCAGTGTTAAGGAATCAATATATATTAAATAAGGTATCTTTAAAAAGAAACATACAGAAAATAAATGTTTATATGTCAATAAACAAAAGTACTGTGACTAGAGGCTTGCAGGAACCTATCCTTGCATTTCCCCTAGGAACAATGGTTAAGTAGTTCCTAATTCAATGTTCCTGTAAACTTTATAGGGCATAACAACAATTAATATGAATCAATTATATATTCTCATGAGTAGATACTACTCAGCAATAAAAAATAACAACTTACCAACATTCACAACATGGATGACTGAAAAGAAACTGGACACTAAAGAATGCATACGGTGTGAGTACCATCATACAATGCTCTATAATAATAATATATGTAAAGAAATATCAGCACTAATTGCCTTAGTTCTAGGGGGAAATTGGGAAAGATGATGAAGAAATTGTAGAATATTTTAATCCTGTACCCATTTGCTACATTTTTACCCAGAATTTTTACATAATGAGTAGTTTTCTTGTTTTTTGTCAGGTTTTAGTATCCAGACATTTTAGTTGTAAAAAGTTTGAAAATATCTTTTTTTTTTAATGGAAAAAATTACATAAAGGATTTATCAGTGGTAGCATAGAGGCCAGGAATTACAGGTTGTAGTAGAGTGGATAATGCTTCTCCCTGCTATCACCAAAAGATAGCCACATCCTAATCCCTAGTACCTGTGAATGTGATCTGTATAATAAAAGACTTTGAAGATGTGATTATGTTAAGCCTCTTACAATGGGAGACACTATCCTAGAAAAAGTGGATAGTCTTTGTATCTTGTAATGCTCCTTGCCTTAAAGTATTCTGTTTCTACTGAAAATGTACTTAAAAGTTTACCAACAAAGAAAAGCCCAGGTCCTGTTGGATTCATTGTTGAATTCTACAAGACATTTAGAGAAGAACTATTGCCACTACTCTTTAAACTTTTCAGTGAAATTGATAGGGAAGCAATACTTCCAAATTCCTTCCTGGAAGCAAGTGTTACTTTGATTCCCAAACCAGGCAAAGACCCAACCAAAAAAGAGAACTACAGGCCAATCTCCTTAATGAACATAGATGCAAAAATCCTCAATAAAATACTGGCAAACAGAATACAGAGGGTCATCAAGAAGATCATACACCCTGATCAAGTTGGATTTATTCCAGGGATCCAAGAATGGTTCAACATACATAAATCAATAAATGCAATACATTATATCAACAGAGTCAAGGACAAAACCCATATGATCATCTCAATAGATGCAGAAAAAGCATTCAACAAAATTCAACACCATTCATGATAAAAAAAAACCTGTAGAAAACTGGAATAGAAGACATTTATCTCACCTTGATAAAGTCTATCTATGAAAACCCAACAGCCAACATCATATTAAATGGTCAAAAATGGAAAACCTTCATGTTAAAATCAGGAACAAGACAAGGATGCTCACTATCACCACTCCTCTTCAGTATAGTTTTGGAAACATTAGCCATAGAAATTAGACAAGAGAAAGAAACTAAAGCAATAAAGATAGGAAAGGAAGAAGTTAAACTGTCATTATTTACTGATGATATGATACTCTACATAGAAGAACCAAAAAACTCTGCTAAAATACTTCTAGACTTAATTGACACTTTCAGCAGAGTAGCTGGATACAAGGCCAACACTCAAAAATCAATATCCTTCTTGTACACAAATAGATTCACTGAGAGAGAAATTAGGGAAACAATTCCTTTCACAATAGCATCCCCCCCCCAAATAAACTATCTAGAAATCAATCTAATGAAAAAAAGCAAAAGACCTCTACACTGAAAACTACAGCACTCTGAAATGAGAACCAAGACCTGTCATGTAAAGGTACAAGATCCCAATAATGAATGTAACTGTACTGTATACCTAAAATGTACCAATAAACTCAATTAAAACTAAAAAAAAAAAGTGTAAATAAGATCCAAATTGTATAAATGACAATGTGAAATAGGAAAAAAAAGGGCTAACGGTGTAGGGGAAGTGGATAATGCCATGCATGTACCTTGATAAGATACTTTATTTAAATGTATTAAGGGAAATTTTGGAAAATTTGAATAGCAAATATACAATTTATGTTGTTCAAGCAGTGTTACTTTTCTCAGGTGGTGATAGTAATTTTTTGTAGAGGAGAATGCCCTTATTAACATAAAATGTCTTTTCAATACCACAAACAGTAGATACTTAATACCTTATTATTTATTTTATTGATCAGAATGCAGATGAATGCAGGCTATAGGATGGGCTGGGGATTTAGCTCAGTGGTGCCACCACCTGTCTTGCAAGCACAAGGTCCTGAGTTCCAATAATAGTACCAAAACAACAACAACAACAACAACAACAACAAAAACCCCAAACCAAACCAAACCAAAAAGGACTATAGGAAATACAATAACTTCCCAAAATAAATCTCTGAAAGCCATCTTATACTACTTTGGCAAAGAGTCCTATAAGGAATTGCAATCTGCTCGGATCTTTGGAGTTTGAGAGAGACATTATAAAACCAGTGGACATCTAGAAGTGGATAATCTGGATATTGAAGGGTCAGGATTCTATGGCTTGATTGTTGTGATTGAAATATTTTGTATAGAAATTTTAAGATCTAATGAGAAGACATTTAAAAGCTAGTTTATGTAACTCAAAAGAGTATAGAGATTGTACAATGGGAGGAAATAACTTTTAGTTAGGTTTTGACAATAAAGTTGAGTAGTTGAACAATATAAATGCCTTCCTACACCTGTGTATTTGCAATCTCCATGGATGGTCAAGATTTTTTTCAATAATGCCCACAGATTAGTAATGTTACGGGGTGGATTCCCACCTTAGGTGAGAGTTGGGCCTAGCTGACCTCCCCAGTGCAGTCTAATCTGTGAGTCTGACTCAGTCACATCACTCTGACACTTGGGATGTCATTCCCAGACACTATTCTGCTACTATAATTTCAGAATCTAAGGATTCCTACCATCTAAGAAGCTGGGCTTCAC